CGGCAGTCTCCTCGCGGTCCGCAACCGCCGCGTCTCCATCTTCAACTCGAATCCTCTCTGGGGCCCCCGCCGCAATTTGGTTGTTCCGATAGGCATGGCTGCTACCGCCATAGTTGCCATCGTCAACCTGTATGGCCCTGGATTGCAAGACGTGTTCGACACCGCACCCATCCCAGGGATGTTCTGGGGGATTCCGTTCACATTCGCACTGGGAATTCTCATGATGGACGAAATCAGGAAACTTCTTGTGCGAACATACCCTAAGGTATGTGGTGTCTATTCTTTTGGACAACGTGTACCTGATCTTTTTCCGGACAGTCGCTCATTGCGAAGATAGCCTGGTAGAGGCAATGCTGTCATTTCCTAGACGACACGTTCGTTGAGCGCTGCCGTGGTGGACCTAATAATTAAATTGTATATTTGGTAGGCTATGTATCTTGACGCTGTACTAAGTTAAACAGTATGATCGACGGTTATGGACGCGATGAACCTTGTTATTACTATTTTACAAGTTATCCCTACCGAGAGAAAACGATGTATGCGCCGCTGTGCCTCAAATTGTCTATGCTGTACACGATGACAGTGATTCTGAGTTTTTTCTTCTTGGGAAGTCCGCCCTTGTGCATATGGCGTCGAATTACCTCCTCATCAGACATCAAGACAGAGTCAGGGATGAGTCCTGCCACAAGTGGCCAATTTTACATGACGAGCGCACAGCGGCAGTGGAATGAGCAAAGTACAACCAATGCGATTTGGGAAATGTTTTACAAGTAGTATACTGGTTCTGGACTGGCTTGTATCGTTGCCTTTCCTATCACAACAAGTCACGCCTACTCATTTTCCAGCTTACCTTCACCGCGAGCTTCGGCCGCATCAACCTCTGCCTTAGCTTCTTCTGGGTGCTCCCTGACCCATTCAATCCTTCCGATTACGGGGTATCCACGTATCTCCTCTTTTCCTGACTTCAAGACAAGTCCATCTCGTCGTAGTACCTCGTTGGGGGTGCTCGGCGGCGGCTGAATTCCAAATAGATCAAGGTAAAACTGCACATGCTGCTTTGATGCTTCTGCCAAAAATTCTTTCATCGTTCCCGGTGGAGATTTAGGAGGTGTCCCGGGCACGATGTGGCTCTGGAGAGGAATATACACGGTTTTTGAGCGCGCTGCCTGAAATTTGAGCAAAAACGTAGCAATATTGACTCCAGAAAGTGCGGGTTTGCCGTAGATGGTCGGTATGTTATCGAGATTTTGCGCTGGAGACTCGGAAGAAATGTGGCACCACGCCTGTGGAACAATGTCGATGGAATTGGCGATATTGAGGTTCCACACCTGGTATCCTCTGGCTGAAGCATCTGCGCACAAACGTTGTGGAAACGTTTGATTAAAGAGGTCGGTAAAGCCGTGATTTCCAGGACTCGGTCCTGCAGTGGGGAATGTGAGCACCTCCTGTGGATGAAGCACGCCCGATGTGACAAGGGCGAGTGCTATGGTAGGGGAGAGTGCCCCTCCGAGACTATGACCCGTTGTCAGGATTCTCCGAGTCGAGGTTGCCGGTAAGTCGGAAAAGAAGTCGATCAAAGTGCTACCTGCCGCAGCGGCACCAGGTGGCGGTGCCACAGTGAGCAGTGTGTGTACAGCATTTACGGTCCCCATCGCAATGTACGTCCCGCCTGGTGCAACTTCGGGTCCAGGAACAGGTTCGGGAACGTTTTTGATTCCGGCCGCAACCCACTTGTCAAACGCGGCAACCTGGTTCACCCAAAAGTTCTCGTGAGGCCAGTCATACTCGGAATCGGCTGTGCCTGCTATAGCGAGGACGTAGGCTGGACGGATCGTGCCATCCTCAAAACGTACGGCTGGGTTGTGCGCGACGTACCACGAATTGTCCGGGCCAGACTTGTCGTTATCAGGGTTGACTTTCCATACTACAGGGCCCCAGACGACCGCCCACTCGCCGAGAAGGGGAAGGAGACCGGGAAGGACAGCCTGGAGACGGGCTTGGAGGTTGGTCTGGGTGCCTTTGAAGTTGTTGACCGCATTCGAGGCCATGGAAAGACCGAAGACTTGCTGGAATACGTCGAAAGGCATAGCGCTAAGTTACTAGTGGCTCTGGTCCTATGAACAGGACTCGCTTTGAGTGAAGCACACCGTCAAGCATAGGCTACATACCGTGGTGGCAATCAAGAGGTAGTGGGCTGAAAGCAGGTACTCTCCTGAAAGACTTTATATGCTTAGGCTGATCTTCGACGAACCTTTAAACATACACCCTCCTTGAATTTGATTCCCCGTATCGAGCTGTGAACGAGTGTTTGTCAGAATCCAAGACGATCTGATATGAACCGGGGATTGCTATCCCCGATTCTTAGTGTATGCACGCTGTCGAAAGGAAACCTTGTTGCCAATACAATACAGGACTGACCCCAACACGAGGCGACTGGAAGTAGGCCCGAATTGGATTCGCCCCTGCTGAATGCCGCTGTATTGGCTTCTGGATGGCTCTGCCGACTTATGGTTGAGCCGCGGAGATTCCATATCGCGCTATGATTGCTTCATGTGTTACTACGAACTTTGATCTCGTCACAATGGAGAAAGTAGGGCTTTTGTGGAGACTTGCTTCTGTGGTCGGAATACGTAGTCCTTGGCTGCGATTCGGGCTCAGGCTGTACTATCTAAACCTATGAGATCCGTTAGATGAACAAACGTCTCTGCCCAGCAAAGCATATCGATAGTGTCATGGTTGACAGTTTGTCTTCGAGGGTTAGATGTACAACATTGCTGACTCTTCTTGGTTGTTACATGTTAGGTTTCATCATCTTTTGCCCGAAGTGTTGTCGTGTTGCGTGCTGATGTAGTGAAGAGGCCCGTGGTCCGTGGGTGACGAATGACAAGTATCCCCAACAGCACAGGAGCAGCTCAGCTAGTCTGGTCTGAGCACATAGTGTAAATTGGTGTCGCACTGCAGGTCCTGAGGCAAAGGGTCAACTACGTCCGTACTAGATGATAATGAAGTGAGCCGAAGCGTCCATCACTGATGATCACGGGGCAGTGTATATGTTAAAATGAAGACAACATGAGATGGGATCTCTTTTCTGAAGAGCGTGTGTATGATGGTTGAAGACGTGGTAAGCATGCTGCTGAAATGGTTCCAACTTCCAAGGTTATTGCTTAGGGCGAGAGAGTGCACGCCGCGTCACGACGGCTACGCACAGCTCGAGTGCTGTGTGACAATGCCTGGCAGCACCGTGGTGGCATAGCGCATTGCAACACACCAGCCTACTCTGTCTTCGACACGTTTGGAGACCAGCCTACTCTAACTTCCTCCTGCATGTGATGGCCGGAGCCCACAGTGAGATCCGCACATCAACATGATGAGTGCATGCGTGATACTACGTCCATCACTGGACACCCCGGTAGAAAGCGGACTCGGACACACTCACAGCCATATGGCTCAGATTTGCCGCAGCAGGGTGTCGTAAGGTTCAAACTGACTCAACTTAACCCTCTCTGGAGTTGCACATCCGCTGCAGGTCTCTGGTGTCGATTCATCGGAGAGACGTACACATTCACGTTCCGAAAAGGACGCGTCGGTTACGTGAGGGCTGTGCGGAGCGTCCGTACATATCAAACCGCTGTCTTGATGCGGCCTTGCGCTCTTACCCACCCGCGTCCAATGCGACAGCGGCTGTCTCAAGCCGCGCTATAAAATGAGGACCCTCTGTCTATCATGAGAGTCAGCAGAATACCCCGATGACGACACCTTTACTTTTACACACTTCATCGCCGCATGACCGACAGGAGGTGGAACTACACTTGGCTTGCAAGGATTGTCACACTGGAGTCGTATCTGAGCGGGATTTGATAGCGAAGGTGAGAGTGATCCCATATTAACGACATGTCCTACTAACATCTTCGTATAGCAGGGCTTCCGGGGATACACTGGAAAAGCTGCGTTATTCTCAACGGCGTAAGTGCCCGAGGAAAGAGTGGTTGTTGCTCAGCTGCCGAGAAATTGACCAGACAGCTGTAGAGCAAACGTCGCAATGGGGACTCCCAAAGTTCTCCTGATGGACACTGGCGCACATACAATTCAAGAGTTATCATGTGCGAAGTGCTGCTCCTACATCGGATGGAAGATAGTACGCGCGCATGAGTCCCCAGAGAAATGGAAGGAAGGTCATTGCTTGGTGGAGCTTGCCTTGTTGGAGGAGCGTACTAGCTCGACACAAGGGAGTGGAGAGCCCATATCAACATCCACAAAGCGGCATACTGCTCAAAGCACATTGGGTCATAGGCGATCACCGACAGATACATCGATTCACAGAGGGCGTCCTCTCGGACCTCGAAGTTTGACACCAACCCCACGCCGCCTCGACCGGACGATATCTATGCTTTCGCAATGAGTGGCTATGGAGCTCGCTGATATCTAGATTACCCCCATGCTTCGTCATCGTAATCCGTGTACCCTAATCCTAACATCTGATAATGAACGTACCAGCGCCCGATCATTGCTCTACTAGCAATTGCTTCTGTATGGTTTCTGTTCTCCATTCATACGATACGTACAACAGGCAAGGAGCCTAATGAAGATTACATTGTCTTAATGAACAGTCCAGATTGGACGCAAAGGTATGGCGCACCACGAAATATGGTAATATATCACATAAGCCTCGCACTCGTCTCACCAAACGCTCTGCGTCTGCGTCGGGGCAGGACTCGATGGTATACTCTGGGGCATAACCGTGCTCCGCGGTGCCTCTTTGAGTGTATCCACATCTTTCCGATACTCTATCTTCTCCACCCGAACTTCGCCATCTATGAGCTGATAGACATATGTCACCACTACTGGCCCTTGGATATCCATGAGAGCAAACGACGGCGTGGGGTCCCTAAACCAAACCGCAGCAGTTAACAAAATGCACGCGTTTGAATTGTCAGGATGGCCGTGAATCATACCCTTTGACCGAACCAATCCAAGCACCTGTAGCTGATCCAGGGTTTACGAAGAAACGGTTATCATACTCGACTGCTTGGAACCTTGGATAGAGCTATAGTGAGCCGTTGCCATTTCATTCACGTTACGACGCACGTATGAGTGTGTCCCGAGATCAATACATCAACGTCTAACTGCCTGGCGATTGCGCTGAGCGAATCCAAGTCACCGGTGGGCAAACACTGGTGCCCATGTATGACCCCCATCCGTATAGGCGAATGTGATACCGTGATAGATAATGGAAAAGAACTCTGATGCTCGGTGAGTTCTAAGTAGTAGAAAGATCATAAACCAATAGCTACCTCATCATAATCTCCGCGGGCGACATGAACGTCAGGCGAAACGGTCCGCAGGTATTCGTAGGTCTCCCTGTCGCAGACATTTCCAGTGCACAAGATTTGCTGTATTTTACCCGGGACTAGCAGCTTCTTGAATTTCGTCGGCAAGTCATGGATGCGATGTGGAATATGGAGATCGCCAATAACAAGCACGAGCACCATTGTCGTCGACGGAGAACAGAGTCGAGCTGAAGCGCCCAAGGGCGTTGTGTGTATCGGTTTGTCCGCGGCGGCTGCGTCGGCCGCGCCCTTGACGAATGCGCTCACAACGTCGGCATGTACCTCTCAGCCTGGGTTCTTGTCTTTTCCCCTTGCTGCTGTCATGGCGCATAGCTTGGCTGAAGAGTGCACGCCTCTAAAGCGAGAGTACGATGCCTGCTTCAATGCCTGGTTCGAAGGCTACCTCGAGCCTGCTGTCTCTGCCGCGGCCAAACAAGAGGAGCGTTCCAAGTTCTCGCAAGAAAAAGCGGCTGAATACGAACGGAGCTGCGGGAAAATCTGGACCTCGTATCGTGAATGTGTTCAGGTGAAGTTTTTCTTGTAAGATACTCATCCTGCTGACGCGAGCCCACGCCGGTATCAAGAAAGCTGTGAAAGACAGAGGGTTAGATTCCCTTCTTGAGCAGGCGCGAGAGGAAAATCCCTTGAAGGATCCTCCGCCACCTCCGGCGGTTGATGGACTGTCCTCTTGACCGCCCTTAAGTGGAGTGCGTTTTGGCGTCATATCGATTCTGGTGATCTAGGTATCTGATCTTGTCTCTGGCAGATATAGGCTACTAGTGTTCGCCTCGATCTTGAAGGCAGCGAGTTCGCCTTGTTCACAGTTGGTACCTGCCAAGGTCATGAGACTGGAGGATGTTTACTCTCGGGTAGTTGTCATACTCGAATAGCAGATTTCGGCACCTTGCTTTCAAATATTAGGATGAAATATCATACAACGCTGGTCAGGAGGTGGTTTCCAATCTGGATTGGTCTAACAGGTCTCGCAGTGTCGGTTGCTTAATTCACAAGCGAAAGAATGGGTAGTTGCTGGCCATACTTTGTAAATCGAGTTATCGGTACCGGTATGCCTTGTCGGTATTCAACCACGATTCTTGAAAGACATACACTCACAATTGGATCATTTGGGTTCAATGTATATGTAAATACGTCTCTAACAGCACGGACGATGATATTATGGCACATGCAGTTGTACATGATTATGAACACTATGAATGTCCACGAACTCATAAAATTGATTAGCGAGAGACCGAATGTGGGTATACGTTATGATGTATCTAATATCCTGTATCCTATCCTTGTTGAGTAAGTTAAAAAGCATCCGAAGAAACCTTTGGGGGCGTAAGGTGTCAGCCATACATCGAGGCTGGCTGAATGTTCTCATCTTGATGATATTTGCCGTACACGTCTAGAGCGCCGCGATGCGCGAAGCCTGGCGAATGAGGATATGTAGACCGGAAGGAGGCCACTTCCATGGGTGTTATCCTGTGATAACGATCAGTCGATGAATTGACTTCAAAAAGTAGTTTACTCGCTCATGATATGCATGTTCTCCAAAGATATCATGATTTGCATACATGAAGGGGTTTACTCCAGGACAGGGCCATAATCCAGTAAATGAGGTGGGGCGGTACGCTTGCGGAACGGGGCAGGCGACGTACTGTTGGGTCAACAAATGGCGCAAGTCGACATTTAGTGCGGGAGACGCGCAATTTAGAGGTGATGTGAGTAAAGCGCTCGAGGCGATTGTGGTCGGCTGCGGCGCATGAACAGTAAGCGCAACGCTAGCATTGTCAGTTGATATAGCGTGTGACTGTTCCGGTTGTAGGCCAGTAGGGTGATCGTCAAGCTGCGGTAGTGAATGGGGGGATTGGTCCAAGCAGAGACTCGTCGTTGAGTGAAGGAACGCCTCTGGCCAAACTGGACAGTGTAGCTCCCACTCGTCGGAAACAGCACTCAGATCTAAGCATTCAGGCACACCATCAACTTCAACATCCATGAATTCGATTTTCGAAGGTAGAGGCTGAACCAGAGAAGTGTAGTCGGAGACATCAGAGCTGGATGTCACGCTACATGCGTCCCCACTCGCCGAAGAGCAGTCGGATGACGACGCAGCACGCTGTCGTTCCCGAAAGAGGCAAGGACCTTTCGCGCGTTTGGGTTCATCGGCAGTATACTGACATAAGTATCCTCGCGATATGCAGCGTGTACAAGCAGGATATGTTCCACTGCACTGAGGATGAATTAGCTGATGCTCTTGCTCCGGATTCCTTTCGGGGGCGTACCTTTGCTTTTCGCTCGCGACATCTCGCGCAAGCCTTTGCTACTCGACGATTCTTCAAAGGAGTAGGAGAACGAAGGAAAATGCAAGGACCTTCAGGTCCGGGAAGACTTCCCGGCACATAATCACGATAAGCTGACCCCCACGGAACATTGTATGGAATCAGATTCCAAATATTAGGCGTAGAAGGCTCGTCGATGATCCCGGTGGGAAGACGGGGGGACGATGGACGGGCAGATTGAGGTGGATACGACAGAGGTAATGTCGAGGAAACAAGCTCTTTCGACGATTCTACAGAGCCCTGCGTCCTGGAAATCAACTCGAGGGTGGCGATAGCCACATCTTCTGACCGAGCCTTCGGAACGACAGAATTTTCTCCGGAGAGACAGAGTCTACCAGTGGGGGGGTTGGACATGAGGCGTGTCGGTATGGTAGAAGTGGGAAGGGGGGAACCAAAACCTGCCCATAAACAATGCTAGTGAGCAGGAGGACGGCAACAAACAAAAATTCATGCCCTGCGAGCACGCCAAGGTTGATTTAAGAGACTAAAATGGGGGTCCAAACTACAAAAAATTGGCCGCTGGCACCAAATCTCGATCACTGGATGAAGCTCAAGGCCTGACTACTACTTAGCGGACGTTTCCCGCAAAGACGGAAGAAAGATGGAGATGAAACTCCGCTATAGCTTCAGAGTCTGGCCGAAGACCCGCTGATGATTGGAAAAGGCAAGGCGGAATGCGATTGCAGCCAATTTGTAGTCTAGACCAGGCGGAAGATCGAGATAACAATCCTCTCCCTTCGATACGCAAGCTCTGGTTTCTCCGCTCAAACCTGGAAGTGAGAATAATTCAAAACGTTCCATACTACATACCATTCCGGCGAGTAATCTCGAACGAGTTTAATGAATATGAATCGATAGCAAATATGCCCACATCTGATGAGTATTGAGCAGGACACAGGATGAACAGCTGCAAAATAAGCCAGTCAGGGCCTCAGCCGATCGCTAGGCCACAAGCTCCCAGATCGAGAGATCATCACGCGAGAGCGGGACCGTAACTTGGCGTAGAGGGTTCGGGGCCCGCGAGTCAAGCTCAGCCAGATACATAATCTAAGGCGCAGATAAATACGTGCTGCGTGCGCGAGAAATGAATAGTTTGGAGCTTTGAAGCAGCGGGTAACAACTTACATAATTGGCGTTAGAAGTAGCACTGCATCTTCACATCGGATTTGCGCCCGTAAAACAGGAACAGTCGGCTCCTCTATGGTTCACGGGTAGTGACAAATAGCCCTTACATGACGTACGCCATAAAACACAATAGTGGTATTGAGAGACAGAATCCAGAAAAGCTGAACGAGAAGCTGAAGGTGTTACAGATGGTAAAACGAATCCTGATCAGATCGGACTCGGCGTGTGTCTCTAGGAGGCATCATGATGCTGGGTCGTGCAAAACTGCGAGCAAATATCGCTCATCTAGAAAAGAAACCAGATGAAGGCGCTGAATGGGATATACAAAAGACGGATTGGTATACGAACCTGGCGAGATCATAATCTCATGACGCTTCGTTCGAATTCTCATGAAGCGCATGTCGTCCTTGAAATCATGATCAAAGTCAAAGGTTTGCATTCGGAGGAAGATTTGAAGACGAAATGGCATACCAAGTCAGTCTGGTCTGCGCTGACTTCCTCAAGCCCTCGTTGAACACTCTCCACGATTCTTCCAACAGCACTCGCATACTTTTTGCCCTGCTCGCCCTCGAATACAACGCCAGAATGCCTGATTATGGTGATAGGATGACTTCGGGTGAGCAACATATATCCCAGCACAGATCGATGAGAGGAGAGCATGGATAAGGTCTGCTCCAGCTCAGGCGGCGGAGGGACTAGGGCCGAGGTCGATGAGACTGTTGTTGCATTTGAGAAGGGGTGCGATGAGGGAGCGACGCTTTTCAACGACTATCTTGTCTCAAAGTTATGAAGCCAGTACCCAGCCTCGGTCAGCGAGAGAGCTCACCATTTCGATTCAATGTAAACGTATCGAGTTCAGCGTTGCCAGCGTGTACTACGAGAATCGGACGCAGACCCAGCAAACTGAGCAGTGAGCTCGGGACGAGCGTGGTGGCGAATCGAAATCAGCCTCTGACATTACGTAAAGCCTGTGCAGCCGCGTGCACTCCGAGTCAGTCTGAGTGCACGGAGTTGAACGAGAGTAAGAAATATTAGTGCACCAAACTTACTACTTTATGCTGACACTTTATACTGGGGTAATTCTATTTATAGAGCCAACACCGCATGAAAAGACGACCATGCAAGCTGGAAACTTGAACGTGCAAGCCTGAGTATCACCCGGCACTACCAGACCTATTTCTGGTGTCTTGACCCTAAGAGCATGTTACCATCGTGTATTTGTCTCCAGTGGGCAGACAACTTTTAATAGAGGCTCAAGAGTGAAGGAACACGATCTCAAGAAGTCATGTATAGGCCGACCCGACCTTAAACATTCTCCTCCGATCAAACTTCTTATGAGGCAGAACTTGCGGTCGCGCATCAGTAAAAGGTGAGAACGCTAGATGCCCTCCGATTTGGCTGAGTGCTTTAAGTGCAGTGTTTATCACTCGCGATTGAGAAACTCTTGATGGCTCCGCATTTTCAAAGACTTGTATATGTCAGCATCATTGTCTCGTACTGTACATAGTTGCTGTTGAAACTGGAGTGAACTAGAGCGTGTTCTGGACTCAAGAATGCGTAAATCAGACAGACCCTACTTTATTGACCGACGTCGGCGGAGAACACCACACGATAAGCTGGCTGTCAAATTCGAATTGTCTCAGCAGGGAATTCTAGCCAGTCTAGAAGTAGTACGAGGTCGGCTGTGCCGATGAGACTGCCGATCAAGGCAGCTGTAGAAATGGAGTGGGGAAGTGATTTAGTCGATAGTGCTTAGATGAGTACAACACAAACAGTCCGGCGGAGTGATACTGTACTCACCGCGGAGAGAGCACCCGGCCTAAGACTCTGGTGACTCTGATTGTGTTTACGCCGCCGGTACGCTACATGCTCTAGCATTCTCTAGCGTCAGGTTTCATGTATCGTCGAAGGACTAAGAAAGTGCTTTTTCTCACCAGGCTCAAACGTCCGATATCAGACGGCATTGCACCGCCATTGGATATAATGTCCGATTGAGGTTAGGTCGCATGTACGCCTAGTTAGGACCTGCGTGTCACGGAATCAGCCCGGACCTATGTGGCGTTGAATCTCCGATCCGTACAAAGACGGCGGGTGCTATACAGCGCATGTGCAGCCACGAGAGGGCCCAAATTACAGAAAAGGGCACGAGATGCCTTCCTAAGTCATCACCAGCATAACTCTTGGTATCATAATAAGCACATTATTTGTCGAAGAAGTGTTGACGTGACTTCTTGCGCATTGCCTGCGCCCCTTCAGATTCGATGTCGACCTTCAAGCCGCGGAGATGGAGATCTTATGAATACCTGCCAAGGCATGAACTGGAGTCTGGACCTTGTTGAGAATGATGTAGTGTTTCAACAACCGTCGAGAGGTACATGCCGGACACGAATATCCACTAGAGGCGTCGTCAGGAGCAAGCCACATGAGTCCTCCATCCAAGCATCCAAGTACTGCATCAGCAAAATCAGAACCGGAATGTGTTCGACGACGGCGATTGTAAATTAAATGTTAATATATCTCTGCATGCATATGTATGTAGAACAATACCTTAGTGGCTTGGAATTGCAAATAGAAATCAGCATGGTGACGACATGTGCATTCTCCTGCATATTGATCTAGCATTGAGAATGATTGCAATTTGTATTGCAGTGCGACAAGCTTTTATAGGTCATTATTATGAAAACAGGGATGGACATGCTCACGCCACACGACTCCAGCCACAGACGGATCACGCGGCATGATTTGGCCGTCGTTGGCCGAGTATAGAGACCTCGAATACCTGCCCTGCTGGATCATAGATCGGTTCGCAGCTCACCTGGTGGTTCGCCCTGTGGGAAGGGGTCGATCCAATCAGCGAAGTGCGAGGTCAGGTTTTATTAGATCAACCTGCGAACGCTCTGGTGACAAATGGAGTGAAATGTTTACCATAGATCTTTAAGCTGTCAAAAACAGGGGTATTTCATGTATTGTTAGCTGGTATATTGTAAATACATTTGCGACCTGGCACTTGCAGCAGTACAGGATAGTATTAACACTTGATATGAAGCACAGCAGCAAGCAGAGTCGACACAAAGCACAGTGAGTACCAAGTACAAGAGTTACTGCTACTAGCAGACAGAGCAACCGGATAAATCTTTGGCACATCAAGCTAGCACTGGGGAGTCCACAGGAGGTGGGTTGGAGACAAGCAACTCAGGAAAGAAACTTGGGAGAGGGCCCGGCCCGCATGTTCAACCGATTTCAATGATGAAGGATCGCTCACAGTAGAATTCTGTCCTGTGAGTTTTTCTGTGTATCTTTGCTTAGTTAACTCTATAGGCAAAAGGCCAGGACATGTGCAGATGGACTTTTCACGCACCCCTGCACCCTTGGCCGGATCGTCCCATGTCTGCACCAACCCGAGTGTCACCGCTAGCATGGGCACCGCGGACGCCGTTGAGCACACGAGCGTGCCCTGTAGTGGCGCCCGCGCGAAGAGGCGCTGCAAGTACACGACCATCGCGGGTAAGAGCAGGCCCACTGCAGCATCGAAGAGCATGCGCGAGAGCAAGATGTCGCAGATGACGGTGTTGTCTGCGTCGCTGTAGATCGCCTTGATGTCTAGGTACGATGTACGCAGGGGGTCCGTGGTCACCTGCGGGGCGCGTGGTGGCAGAGGCTGAGTGGGCGCACCTCATAATAGAGCCGCGGCGAGTATTGGTGCTGCACCGTGCCCGCCACAGTGCTCCAGGTGGACAGCGCGTTCGCACCGAGGGAGCGCGACGGTGGTGTGTTCTGTGAACGCGTGCTGCGGGCGCACGTTCAACATTCAGCGGCGGGCGCGCCGTGTGTATGAGGCTGGGACTCCATTGCCTAATTCGAAGAGGGCGGTTAGAATCTGAGTAACGAGAAAATGATACGCAGAGTCCACCGTGCATTATATGACGTATGTTAATGGATCCACTACTGAGGCAGATGGTAGAGGGGGAGGTTATTCTGAGCATAGGGAACGCCGGAAGTCCGAAGCCAGGTACAAGTGCGTGCATGCGTGGTATGCGTGGGATCATGGCATCTCAGGCTTACCTTCAAACACGCGGCTTCAGGATGGATTATCACCTTCAGCACACATGACTAAGATGAAAGACGTCCACATCATGGGCACGTTCGAATCAGCGGCAAAGATTCAAGTGCACGTTGCCATACAGAAAGGACGATCACCGCACGCAGCAGTAGACATGTTGAGGGGTCGCACGTAAGGTCTGTGCAAAGCCTCGTAGCCATAACAACCACGACTTGAAGCCCTGGCCAGGTAATGGGACTGTGGAAACCAAGCAAGCCCTATTATGCCGATATCCGAAGGGACCTATGGGTACTGCTCTGCCTGTGAGGGAAATGCATGTCTCCAGGCGACGCAGGGGCGAGGCTCACTGATTTCACTGACATCCATCGAATAAGGTGAGCATTGACAATCGTGTCAGCAGATCCGCATGATACTGTAGGTGGCAGCATATGCTGCATCTATTGAGAATGGCCCTGTGCATCACGCGACATTTTGAAAGAAGTTAAAGCATATACAGAAGTTAACAGCGCTGAGATAGAAAGATGTTCATTGAATTTGATCATGAACTTCGGACGTCTATTTTTTTGAGCTCGCACTATGAGAATCGGGGACACTTGATGATACAGCAGCTCAAGTTGAGTGTCTCACTGTGGAGGTGGAAATTATAGCACTTCAGGCTTCAAGCGCGATGCCTTAGTTCCGATGGCATAGTGGGCCATGGATGAGTTGCGGACAGATATTCCTTTCTGGCACCAGCGCCGCCAATGTAATTTTCATTTCGACGGTCTACGAAACTGCACAAGATCAGAGAACAAGTGTTGTTCGCGCTTCGGATACTTCGGACAGAAGTATCGGCCAAGGAAAGCAGAACGATCCACCGGGATATATAAACTAGACAGTTGAGCAGCGTACACGATCGAGAGAGGAGGCGTACGGATGCTCCTCACAAGTTTGAAAGCCTGGAATGTATATTCTATCGAGACAAAGGGCGTGCATACAGGGATTCTGGCGAGCGGCATGCAAGGCAGTGCAATCGCGCACGGCCCGGCAGAAAACAACAGCAAAGCGAGCAGCCGAGTGCGAGAAAGAGAGACAGGCAGACAAGCGCCGGAGAGCAGGCTTTGTTTTGTGCGTAATTGTTGTGCGCGTCGTCGTCGCCGTCGTTGATCTCGACGAGCGCATTGCCCACCCTTGTCGCTCTCTTCGTCGAGCAATCTGCCTGCCACCTGTGCAGGTGCACACCTCCCGTTTATTATCGCATATCATATACAATATCAAGCTGTGGCGGTTAGTGCAGTTTTGATTTGTTTTGAATGGGTGTTGACTCCGTCTGTCTCCGTCGTGCTGTCCTCCGCGTGCACCTGATCTTCTGCCCTCCTGCCAGTCGACCCCTCCGTCCCTTCCCTCCCAATGACTCAGTTCGGGGATTTTGCTCCTCTCTGCCATACTGTCCCGTCTTACCCGTGGTGCAACCTCTTCTACCGTCAGGTATGACCGGATTCATTCTACTATTCCGAGAATTCTGACCCGCCCTAGCTCGAAGACAACGATCGTTCGGTTCTGGTCAGCATATCCGCAGATCCCGCCTCTGCACCTGTCGGCGTAAATCCATATTGTGGCACCCTCCGTCTAGGTCACGATCATTCGTCCGGAAATGTCGCGAACATTGTCGTCTGTGCAGTGAGCATAGTCTTTGTAGGCTGGTTGCTTTTCCTCGCGCGGAGGAGAAAAGCCGCTGTCGGTGCGTTTCTTCTGTCTAACCTCTCCCTACTTTATCCATGTTCGTTGGCGTCCCTGCATTCCCCACAATTGCAGCTTTCATTCCGCCCTTCGATCGCTTCTCAACAATGTTCACTTCATGCCTGGTTCTCTTGCGAAAGGCGCCTCCGAAGATTTTCCTCAGCCGTATCTTTTGTGCATGCTATCGCGGACTTGGCCTCACACGCTGTCCTGCCCGCATTTGCATCGGGTGATATGTCTCTACTGCGGTTGCTCTTCAAATTTTTGCCCCCTCATACTGTCCGTCTGCAGGGTACATCTGGTTTCGTGCAGACTCTTTGTGATAGATAGCTGGTGTTGACCTACACTATAGATGTGTAGGGCGGACATGAATTCGATTCCTCCGACGCTTTTCCACATCTCTTCTCATGATATCACTCATTCTTGGCAGCTCATTTCAAAATCTTCATTTCACAGGTCGAATAGAGTTCTGCCAATTTCTCACTCTGTACTTCCTCACTCTTCCTTTCCAACTCATCACTACTGGCTCTTTCCTTGAGCAAGGCTCAACACCGCTCACAGCTATCACAGCGGTGCATGCCGGTCTAGTCGCAGCAACTTTTTGGGCGCTTTTGGGCAACGCGCTTGTGAGCACGCAGCTCGTCGAAGATGGGACTCTTGCCTCACTCATCGTGAGTTTCCTCATTTGGTCTACGAACGGATCGCCTTCTCCATATGTGCGGCGATGACAGCCCGACAATGGAGCACGAGACAACTAGTATCTGGTCACGACGGAGGCTGATCATTTACACTTTGTTCCACAGCCCTTCAATTTTCTTATCTTGGCATTCTTCGCTGCTACGACTTACATATCGCTGGACGTTGGCTTCACACTTACGCATGTATTCGGACCATCAAATCCACCACAGAACCTGCACAGCGTGCCCGTTTTCGTCTTGACTTCAATATGGCCTGGCGCGTGAGTGTCTGATCTAGCGCTGGTTTCGCAGCACACTGATCCTTGTATTAGCGCTGCAATCATTTATTTCCTCTTAATGATATATGTTGTATTGGGTATCTTGAATGAATTCCGCCCGATCTGGTACTATGTACTGGCCATGATTCTTTTCGTCCTCAGCCAATTAGATTATTTCTTGTTGAACAAGGTTATATGCGAGGTGGGCTCATGATTTTTACATGCAGCGACTTAACTGACGTTGTATTCTTGATCAACATCACTGATATCACTTTGCATAGGGCACATCGGCAAAAATCGACGGCTCGTTCGTAGCGACGATTCTCGAAACAGCAGCTGTCGGTATACTTTATATGGGATGGCGAAGTATCACTGAGGGTACGTCACTCCCTATGTTGATCAATTCGGGTGTCAATGAACTTTTCTAGGGTCGTGGGACGAGAATGTCTATTATCCTTGGTGACATTGATTTTTGGACATGTATTGCAAAACTCCTACTTCACGAAATTTTATGCAGTTGTATTTGTATCACTTTGGGCTAGCTGCTATCCTTGGTCTCCTTCTCCTTCTCCTCTGGTCGACGGTTTAGATGACGGCTTGCGTGTTCTGCGAAGATAAGGTTTCAGTAGACTGATACCATTCGTTTGCTGTTTCGATTCTATGGAGTTCATCCCACTCAAACGACATTTATCTAGACGATCGTCTACGTAAGCTACCTCGTCGTCGTCATTTTACAGCGTTTGTCCCCGTGCCTCAACAGATAGCAGCCTGGAAGAACAAAATCGGCCGTGACGGTATATTCTATTCTCATCTGATAATCTTGGGAGCGGCTTAGCTCGTTAATTTATCTATTTCTTTCCTACCGCGCATGATCTATCAGAAGCATCAACAAAACTTCTGCATCGCTCCCAGGCTAGTAAGTCAAATCATTTATGGTCATAGTGGCTGAGCATACGTCGAGCTCTTCTGGTACTTCAGCTGCAACTACGCCCCGATTGTGATACTGGACGATGCGTATCTCTACAGTACCCTGGGCTATAGGATTTTTAATTCATTCATTCGGGCATCAAGCCTGCATTTCAGTTTTTCGAGTTTGCGACAGCGAATGGACTCAAAGAGTTTAACGTGCCGACAAAGAAAGAGGATCGGGATGTGCGTCCGCTGGGGCCTTGCGTCTATCTCATGAATGTCCTATGTCATGGTGCGATCCGGTCTAGTATGTGGGACTCCTCGGACGATCGTAGTCAAAATGAGCATTAGTCTTTTCACACCATAGGGACTTGCTTCCACCGGCATTGAAACTACTGTTGATATCTTGCGTGTTCACAGGCCTCATGCATATGCTTCAAGGTTCGCAGGATGGATTTCTGTTAGTGTTACGCGTTCGGAAGTCCCTCGTCCTTAATCGGAATCTGGTTGATGCGGAGACGCATGCTTCGTTGGAATGCATTCCTAAGTAGCCTGCTCGAGAGGACCTTGCATTGTTGCACACAAGTTTGCTCAATGAGTTGCTACATCTGGTCCGTCGCCAACGCCACTCTGCGTTATTTGCTGTATTCATTGAGATACGGCGTCTGACGGTAATTCAGCCATTTTTATATAGCCTCGAATGCCAGTGGAGCGACTCTGTTACCCCCTATTTTATTTGCTGCAATCGTGTCAAAGCATTGGCGGAACACTATTTATGGTCAGAATTCACGCTTGCTCTAAATCATGTTGCTGACTATACAAAATTATCTAGAGGCGAATGAACGACGGGGACATCAATGTGTATCATACAGAGCTGTGACAGCTAAAGTAATTTACTATCGCTATGTTCGGAGTACGTGTGGAGCGCACGGGTCTCAAAACTTTTGCGGACTGGAAGATGTTGTGCGCTCTCAGACTGCGAGATCACGACCGACTCGGAGGATGAAGTGTTGGTATGCTTACCCGAATTCAAACCATACAGTGCCTCGACTCACACCGGTCACGACTACTGAGCACACTGTCCTCCGCTCCGCCTCCCCGAGGGACGTACTTTCAGAATACCACCATGCATGCTGTTGTGGTCTGTCACATCCAATGCAATTGTGGTTTGAGATGGCCGGAGACATGGACTCTTGGCGCTATGTCTCATGTAATTTGTCTGATGCATCTAATTGATTGGAATGCCAGACACTCGACTGCGACTCCTTTCTGGAGTGCATATGGAGTCTCTTCTAATTTCAGACGGTTAGGACCAGAAAGTAGGTTATAGTGAAAACGCTGCATACTGGAGCCGTCTATTCATAGACTCGATGCTAGCCTCATTACAAACATTCTCATCATCCTCGCGCCCAAATTGAACATTTGCGGACAACTTGAGTACAGAAATATCGACGCAGGAGACCGAAATATGAGAAGTTTGTAAGGAACAACATAATCAAATGGTTGAAGCTGCGAAGATCAAAGAGAGTGCCGAAGGACACAAAAAAACAAGGGAATGTACACAGTTATCCGACGCGGTGATCCCAAATTGCATCAGTGCCAAAAGCAAAGTCTGAGAAGCGAAGACAACCGTCAACAGAAACAGCTCAGAACGTTTAAAGAAGATAATTGTTGGGTAAATGATAGAAATCCTTGGAAGATATCACAAATCTTTGAGCGCCATATTGTGAGTTAAAAATTCGGGGTATCATGATGACACTCAGTTCGTCTGTCAAAAAGAGAGTGCACCAAGATGAAGATACACCATGGTGGCCGCTCACCCTAGGACAATTCTATCAGTGTAAAATTACTGCATGAGGAAGAGATGAAAGGGGCAAACCATACATTGATTCTCATGGTGCGTTCGGCCACGATGAAGTAGTGGCGCAATAGTTTTAGAACCGATCGACAAATGAGCTGCAAAGCAGGTGGGACTCGGAGCTATACAACTAATTGCATGGTCGCGTCGGGTCCATCATGCGTAGACAAAAACATGTTCCGCCGAGGTGATTATCAAGCCTGACATGTTGTCAAGACCTCGAAGAGGAGGTTCAGTAAAGGACTCGTTATGCTTAACTCCAAGTCGAACGTCATCGTGTTACTGTCACGGTGCTCGAGGTCGAATGATTAGTATGAATATTAGTCAGTGGCAATAGATTACCCATTGTAATTAGATACTCATAATTTGCACCAAGAATTGTTACCTGTTGTTACTCCTGAAAACAATAATAATACAGCCTCATTATATATATATATATGCATCACTTATCTTTCGGCTGTTCAACCCAAGTATTAGAACTAAATGAACGAAGTCATCGCCACTCTCTAGAAGCGAAGGCAAGCTACAAGGTGCGCGTATATATTAAGGGGGAAAGGCAAAAGAACGCGGATATAAATTGACATCGTGAGTAGTACCCGAACGAACCTCACAGCAGCAGCGAGTCCAGCTTCGACAATACCTCCAACACCCCCGCGACTAGCTCGAAGCACAAGTCCTCTTCTCCTCTTAGCTCCCGTCTAACTTCTAACACCAGCCCCAGCACTGCCTCCCGCCCACTGACCCCCGTACTGCCCATCCCAATGCGCGCCGCCTCCCTCTTCCGGGTCGGCCCACCGCCTTTTGATGCACTAGCGCTCCCGAACGGCCAGCACGCAAACTCGGCCAGAATCTCGTCACATCGTTGGAAGGCCGCCTCGCGCTCCTCGTATGTCAACCGTCCGAATGCATTGTCAAGCACGCTCGCTGCATAGGCAGCGCACACTAAACATACCGCACGGGTCGCTCGGGCTTGTGTGCCCTCCTTCTGCAGTGCGGTACCAGGAACCGCAGATGTCGTTGCGGTCAGCGTCGCGACAACACGCGATACTATGGCCTCTTTTGTCCGGACGTCCGCCACTGGGTGCGTCGCCATGTCAAATAACAGGAAGTTACGCTTCTCAGTGCGTAATACGCCTTTGTCTACGAGCCCCTTGGCTAACCGCTCTCGCACTTGCTTCAGTTGGAATCCGATCTTCATGACGTTCCACGTCTCGCCTTCAGATCACGCCATTGTCAGCGCTCACTCTTCCTCAGGATGGCGTCCCAGTCACACTCACCGCTAAGCAGATCAATCCAGGTGTTCACCGCCATCCGCTCGATGTCCTCCTGCGCTTTCATCATCCGAAGTGTCTCATCCAGGATCGTCTCGCCCGTTTGCCGGTCATCAATGACCTCCACTACTCGGTCCGCTGGGGGCACTTGCCGCCGATTTGGATCCCGCACCAGCGCAATACGCCGCCGGAGAGCGAGCTCGATGAGGATGCACCCTCGTAGCGCATATGAAATATTGTCGTTCCAGAAGGATAGATAGCCCTGTGTGACAAACCATTAGACTATGCAAGATGCCCGTTATCCGTGCACATGTGGTGTGACGTTACGTGCTTGCCGGTACGGCCGCAACTCTCACAAATAGGGCGAATGGTGGACACATGTACACACCTGCTTGTCCTTCAGACCGAGCAGGAGCACTTCCTCCATGATCGTGAGCCGCGGAGCACGGCCGCCTTGTCGCTCATCCTCGTCTTCACGTTCCAGATCTCGCGGGTCAAAGGCAATTTTGCTGCCGCCCTCGAAAGCAGAGCCAGCGTGAGACACTGACGGTACTGAGCCGTGTTGCGGTAGACCTGCTCCGTTTCCGTTCGTCGCAGAGGGGGAAGGAGAGGTGCCCCATGCTTCGCCTGGGTCGTCCGAGGTGCTGGTAGATCCGGAGGCGTTAGGAACACGGCGTCGGGAGAGTCCACCGGTCGAGGCCATCGCATCCGCAGGTTTTCAGAGCTCTGCCAGGCTGCTAGCAGAATCCTATGAATGCTGGCAAGAAGTGGGAGCTGGAGCAGGCAAGCCGCTCGCTGCGGCCGTTCAGATCAGAATCGACGACAAGCCAAGCCGAGCCTCACTGGAAGCGGAAATATGGTATTACTTACTTAGCCTTTGATGCTTGAAATTAATCGGCACATCCAACTAAGTTATAATACCACGAATAAGCACTCAAATACTACCTAGCCGTTATACGGCACTCCATGGCACATGCTCCGGCGATATCCTATGTTGATTCTATGCGACGATTTTGAGCCTGCTGCTGCGCGTTGTACCAATGCACCTTTGATGAATCTGCTGTTTACCCTCAGGTTACGGAGTTAGGCTTTATCTATGTCGGTCGCTCCTTCGACGAAGCCCCCAGCGGTTTCCAGGTTCCAAATTCCGAATTCTAAATTCTAAATTCTTTACTCTTAAAATGGCCCCCGTCTCTCAGGTGGTGCGCGGCTGAGGTTGAATGGTAAATAGCGATATTCAAATGTTCGCTGTAGGCTGTGACATTGTACGTGATTTTCCCTGGCTACATGCTTCGCTGACATCGTCAGAAGTGAGAATGTCTCTGCTAGAGAATACTGCCGCTGGCTGTTCGTCAGAGTTACTCTTTTTTGGACCATCGGGTACGTCTGCCTATTGCAAATCTGTTTTCAAACCTTCAAACCCTGACACACCGTCTCAGTATTCCTGAATGTCAGATGTTGTGCAGACGTCGAGGCTAAGCTGTGTCGTTAAAGCTGACAGGCCTTTGGTTACTTCTGTGATACAGCAAGCACCACGATTGCATATGTCTTCAGTCAGCCTTTAAATGCTCACGAATGATACATATACCTATGAGACAGCAGCGCAGGAACTGGTCTTATCTGCGACAATCGGGCGTCGTACAGTTTCTGACGGCAGATTGGAGTGACATCAGTTAGCCGATTTTTGCTGTACTGCAAATTTTTCACACACTTCACCATCCCTCTTCTCGTTATAGTTGGTAAGATCGTAGCATATTCTCTTCACAACGAAGTCTGACGAGAAGATAGGGCACGTTGCACCTGCAGTAGCCGACGTGGCCCTTAGACAGGCAGAAAATTCCGCTGCGTCTTGTTTGGGCGCGGAGTTATGACGCTGGCTGAGCTTTCGGACGCGTACGGCGAGGCGAAAGAAAGGAATTCGATAGTCCTTCAAGTTGCTACACTAGACATCGGGGTCGGTTCGATATGAGCAAGAACATGCTTCCAGTTCCAATTTCAATTAGGATTTTGTCCACCTTGAGGTTCGTTACACCTATTCAAATCCCGCGCCCTCACGGAATACCCCCCCAAACGCCTGTTTGAATTCTTATGCTCGTGGCAGACGGCCTTATCCTCATACACTAGTTTAATCACCGCTGACTTCGTATCAACACGTGGTGGCTGCTCGGTGAGCTTCTCAAATTACTTTGACCTGTCCTGCCATCGCAGTCCCCGTGGTACGCGATGCTCTCATCGGTTAATGTCCTAGCTCTGGCCGAGATTATCCGCGTGTATGCTCGTTCATTCCCAGCTTCATGCTTGTACACGCGTGGCATGTCCCCAGAACGCAGCCTCCCAAACACTACTGATTCTCGACGGTAAGCAGCTTGATTCTTTGGCCAATGCTCGTCCAGGAACGCTGTCGGATCTGCCGTTTAGATGCTCCTTGTGAAAAGTGTTGTCGCCGAGCAATCGAATCTCGTCGTTAACACAGTCTATCTCATGTTGCCATCACGTCATCGGGCAGCAGACTTACGCGGCCGAATCACGATACGGCGGCTGGCTTCGTGGCTTCGTTCCGGACATTCTCGTGGAAGAGGTTGATCTTCCAGATTTAACCCTTCACTCCGTTTAGCAGTCTGGATGATTTTAAAATCCGGGCGCAGATCATCCAGACCTCTACCTCGTAGCGCACTTCCTCATGGTCGTTGGTTCAAGTGCCGATCCGCCGATATACAGACGGTACTGTCCGCGTTCTATACTGATTGGTGAGTTCTACTTATCGTCCCTCGTGATATTCGACGCCACGTACTATATCGCCGCTTTCTGAAATTTGTAGCCGTAACCTGCTAATGACTCGCTCTCCCACGAGCACATCAGCGGTCATTGACGATTTAGGTCTGTCTCTTCGTGATGTCCTTGGGCCTATAGACATTGTTCTGGGGCTTGTACACAGATTTTCGATTATCACACGATATCTGACGAAGACGGCGGCCCAGATCCATGTCATGCGTATGGCGTATATCTCTGCATCATGCACTTGGGCGCTGTGGAGTCGCAGTCAGGCCGTCTTTCCCTCCTTAGCGCCACAAATCCCTTTTGCAGCACCATGGGAATTGATGTAAAGAGGAGTAGGTTTCCTGCCTGTGCCGCAGTTCTCTTGACTCGGGCTTGGCATGCTATTTTGGTCACCGCTCGGCGTTTGCGCCTTTACGGATTTTACAAGTCTGTAGCTAGAGGGCATTTGCTTCAAAACTTTTGGCAGCCTTGATGGCTTGTCGTCATCGACGCTATGGCCCCTGTAGCGCTTAATGGTGCCTACTTGCGCGCGTTAGCTCAGGAATGGCTCATACTTGCCAGCCCTTCCAACGTGGAGGTTTAGGGACGAATAGAGGGCAAAAACGATATCTTCAGACTGATGAAGGCTGGGCGTCATCCATGCTATAGGTGCATCTGCCTCTTTACCTTCGTCATGCCAGGTTCTTGCGTCCAACTACGTACCCACGTTACTGTGGGTCACGACGTGACTTAATCTCCACTTCCGGTGAAATGCGTTATCCTCGTTCCCACCTCAAGTTGAGAGACGTTCCCACCGAATTGCAGCTCGCCATTGGACTGCGAGTTCACGATAGTGCCCTCTTCTCCTACTGACGCTCGGATCACCATGAGGATGAGGCTTACGGAAAGTCCCCGTCAAAGTTTTCTTCTATGCATGTCCAGTCTTCGACCTTCCATCCGCTCTCTTGAAGGCCGTCTCGTGTGCTGGCATACATGGGCTACCACCCCGTCCGGCTGTAAGACTTCCACTCTATCCTCTCTTCTCATTTGTTTGTCTTCCGTGAAACAGTGGAGCAAGTGGATAGCAGTCGTCTGGACGCCTTTGTTCTCTTGCACCATCTGTTCTGTTGTACAGAACGGTGAGCTTATATTCCTCGAAAACATATCTGACTGCGCGATTGATTGTCCTTCAAGCAGTGTCTCCCCCTTCCAGTAGCTCATTGCAAGTTTCGGCAATAGCACCGGCATAATGCAGCAACCAAGTGACCGTCGGTGGTCAGAACTCATTCCACCACATACTGCGCTCACCTTCGCAGCTGTCTGGGACCCGGTAGACGGACTGATCACTTTCTCCGGTGCACAACTTCTTGACTCTGAAGTCTGTGATCGCATCGCTGTTTATCCGCAAAATGGGAAGTCGCCCCGGGACGCGCTCGACACCCAGTCTCAAGCCCTCACCATCGACATGTTCACACAGGCGTTGTCAGGACGCGCAGCGCACTATGTTGTGCCCTGCGCGGACAAGTCGGAGGAGCGGATAGTCCCGTCTTCGTGGGCTTGCGAAGCGCAGACGGATACCGATACGATCATGGGGTCGCAGTTTCTACCTGTCTGGTTAATTCCTCCGCCCGGTATGAATACGGGTCTGCACAGTCCTGCCTGCGCGTCTTCGGCTGCTGTCACTGCCCTTTTCCACGATCCTGAGTTGAGGAATGTCAACCACTGGGCTCCTCCCAAATACCGTCTCGCTGACTTCGGACGATCTCATATGGACGATGAGTCCATCTCAGACGAGGGTTTCTTCGAAGGGAGACAGCTGCCTAGCGGAAGTTTTGCAAGCCTCCCGGTGTTCGTAGATGTCAATATGGTCCGTACATCCTTATTATGGGCATTATTGTCGATCTTAATGCCTTTACGTAAAGAGCTCCGCGTTCTCTGTGACAACTACATCGACCAACAATTATGTCGAGGTCGATTTCCCGTCGGTACTGGAAGCGAAGGAAGACAGCGAGTTCCTCACGGACGGCGCTTCGTCCTGGGAAACTCTTGTCGGCGTTGATCGAACACTTTGTCTGAATGTTAGGCCTGTGGCGGATCGGGGACGGCGGCTGAGGAAAGTCCGCGTTGATTCCAAGCCTACGACTGGACCGCCGGCGAGTCCAGCGGAGGTTCTCTCTCGAGCACAGTACAACCACGTTCGTCCATCTAAGACACCGTCATCCTCAATTACCCGAAAGCCCTCTATTGCGCGAGCGAAGGCTTTATTGGATCGGCTGGGCAAGTGTGTCAAGCACGACGACGATGGGTGGGTGTGCATTGAGGTGACACAGAAGGTGACACAGAAAGTAACGCACAACATTGTGTAAGGCGATTAGATGACTGTTTTTATCTGGTTTTAGGGAAGCGGACTGTTTGTTCTGTCTGAGTGTTACTTATCAACACTTTCGTCTTGTTGAAGTCGGCTCATGATGTCCTCTAGAAGGTCCACTCGTTTTTCTTCGTATTCCATCGTGGCCGCAACTTTTTTGTACGAGCGTATGGATTATACGCTGTAGCAATTACTTGTACAACCCCCGATTATACTGTGCTTCATCGTACCAGCTACAATGTTTACCCCTTGTACATTCTTGTCGGGTAGAGTTGGATGATTTGACTCGCAGTGCGTGCCAGTAAGTGCCAGGGCAACTTGTATGTTTGCAGCTAGAGGAAAATTCTCAAAGCTTTCGAATGGATATCACACTGGCAGCACCTGCATGCCTGCTATAATCGACCCCATTAAATATATTGTTACGAGGCAGTCCGGGAAGGGGCTGCTACGCCATTCCGAGGAGGGTCGTCGATTTCGTCCGATCGGTCACTGAATCGGTCAGTTTTGGTCCCCAGCCCTAAGGACCGATTGCGAGACCGATTTCGCAGAGGGAAGCACGCGCCCGCCTCTCGCCGCCCGTGCTCAGCACTGAGTCTTTTCCGGTTCGGCGGTGGGGGAGGGGGGGG